AAGCAACGTGAAATTCAGTAGTGCTTCACATTTTCACTCACATTTTCTCAAGGTTTTCGACCGAATGATTGATGATTTCAGACAAGGTTTCACTCACTATGTAGCTCAAACTAGCCTTGAACATGCAATCTTTCTGACTGTCTCTGGGATCACAGGTGTAAACTTAAACACACAGATTCAAGTTATTTTTGTTTCAAATGTTGGGACACTATGGCTTACAAGTTTAAAAAAAATACAGCCTGGGACTAGCTCAGTGGTAGAGAACTTGCCTAGCATGGATAAGGGTCTGGATTGACCCCTCAGAAACACCTAAAAATTAAATTAATTAAAATCCTCTAATTTTCTAAAGAATTAGAAATGAACCCCCATACTATGTACCAAATTATCAGGCCCTCTTCCCTCAAAGTTGAGGGAATTTAGGGTAGTTTCACTTTTTCTCTTCGTTTTTGAGGTAGCCCAGGCTGGCCTAGGACATAATATGTACTGGAGAATTCTCAGGCTCTCTATTTCCTAAGTGCTGGCTTTACAGATATGCGCCAATCATGCTTGTATTGTGGTTTTATGTGGTGCTATGAAACTCTGGGCTTCATGCACACTAGATAAGCAACTCTACCAACTGAGTTATACCCCCAAACCTCATTTGGAGAAAGTTCTAACTCCAGGGTTACCAGCTAAGGTTGGTCTGCGTAGCAGATACTTCTCTAATCTTTGCTCAGTGTTCATCTCTCCCTAGAATGCTAGTTCCACACTTGTGTATACTTGACATCTTTATCTTAGAGCCAACAGGCACCAAGTCTCCTCCTAAATAATTCTCACACTGGGATTCTCTACTTTTGCAACAGAACTATTTTCTCACCACCATAAAATCTCTGCACAGTGTTGATGCCGCCTGCCTTTTTTACTCTGCTCTCAAGATCTGTCCCAAACCTAAATGAGGCCTATGCAATGCTTATTTCTGACCTTCCGCCTTCTGACCACAACTGTGGGCCCCGTCCCCTCCCAAGTGGACACTTGACTCTCGCTTCGAAACTCTGCCATGCATATGTCATTTTAAGCACTCAGGACTATAGAATTTTCCAGATCTCTGCTTTCAGTTACCCTAAACTATCACCTTCTTCAAATCACTCACTTCATCTGTTTAACAATCCTCAGTGGTTTCTACTTTGTGTCTGATTGGTTGGTTGTTTGGTCTTTTTGATACAGAGTCTCCCTGCAGCCCAGCTGGCCTTGATCTCACTGAGATCTGGCATGCCTCTGCCCCTGCCTCTGCCTCCTGAATGCTGGGATTAAAGGTATACACCACCATGCCCGGCCTAGTTTCCACTTTTTAAAAGACTGTTCAAGTCTTTATGCCAGGCGTGGTAGCGCACGCCTTCAATCCCAGCACTTGGGAGGCAGAGTCAGGTGGATCTCTGTGAGTTCAAGGCCAACCTGGTCTACACAGTGAGTTCCAGGACAGCTGGGGCTACAGGGAGACCCTGTCTCTAAAAAATAAAAAATAAAAGTTCAAGTCACACTGCCACAGTGTTACTTGCATCCTGTTCATCTCTGACTTTACGCTCTCTTTTTTAAGACAGGGTCTCCTGGAGCCTAAGCTAGCCTCAAACTCATATTGCCAAGAATAACATTAACTTTATGAGCCTCCTGCCCCTATCTTCTGACTGCTGGGCTTACAGACTTGTGCCACCATGCTCAATTTATACAGTCCCAGGGATCAAACCCAGGGCCTCACGTATCCAAGCGAGCATTCTACCGTCATCTCTATCTTTAACCTTACCACCTCGGTTCACTAGCTGTGCTCTCTGGTGGGAAGAATGTGTACCCCCTCTGCCTCTTATTCTGGCATCCTGCTCTCACTTTGAGTTTCACCTGTACTTAGGTACGGCTCAAGACTCACCCACCCAGTCTGTGGCCTGACTTCTCACTCATTGATTCCAGCACTACTTGTTCATTTTGTACATTAAGAACTGTGCTGGATAGCTTTAGTGTCAACTTGACACACCTGGGTTGAGGGAGCCTCAATTGGGGGAATTGCCTCTATTAGACTGGCCTGTGGTCATGTCTGTGGGGTAGTCTCTAGACTGTTGAGTGATGTGGGAGGGCCCAGCCCACTGTGAGTGGTGCCACCCCTGGGCAGGTGGGCCTGTGTTGCATAAGAAAGCAGGCTGAGCAGGGGCCAGGGGAGCAAGCCAGTAAGCAGCATTCCTCCATGGCCTGTGCTCCAGCTCCTACCTCCAGGTTCCTGCCCTGAGTTCCTACCTTGGGCTCCCAGATGAACTATGACCCGGGATATGTAAGCTAAATAAACCGTTTCCTCCCCAAGTTGGTATTGGTCAGAGTGTTTTGTCACTGCAATGGAGAGACAAACCAGGACAAGAACCATATACATTTTGGGGTTTTGGGTTTTTTTTTGGTCTTCTTGAGGCAGGGTCTGTTGTAGCCCCAGCTGGCCTGGAACTCACTATGTAGACCAAGCTGGCCTTGAACTCACAGAGATCTGCCTGCCTCTGCCTCCTAAGTGCTGGGATTAAAGACATGTGCCACCATGCCCGGCCGGTTTTGTTTTTTAAAGACAGGGTCTCACTATGTAGACAACGCTGGTCTCAAGCTCATAGAGATCGCCTTGCCTCTGCCTCTCCAGTGCTGGGATTAAGGGTATGCAGCCCCATGCCTGGCATGCTTCCTCTACTTCATAGGCACTGGAAGCTCTTGGGCGTTTGAGGAAGGTAAGAATGGAGGGCTGAGGACAGCACTCGGGGTAAAGAGCTGGCCTGGCATGTGTGAGGCCCTGGCTTCATCAATCCTTACCACCACAAAAACAAAAGCCCAAACTCGTATGAAAAAAGGCCCAGAGCCGGGCATGGTGGCGCACGCCTGTAGTCCCAGCACTCGGGAGGCAGAGGCAGGCGGATCTCTGTGAGTTCAAGGCCTGCCTGGTCTACAAAGTGAGTTCCAGGCCAGCTACAGGGAGACCCTGCCTCAAAAAGACTTAAAAAAAAAAAAAAAGCCCAGAAAGAGTCAAGGAAATAAAACTCAGGACAGTAGTTCTCCTCTCTCTGCCACCTCACTGTTAGCTAGTTACTGAGGGAAAGAATGACTAGCTCAAAGCTCTAACTTCTGCAGGTAGAGGACATTCAATACTTAGTTCAAATATTTACTTCTGGGAATATGCTCCCCTACAGTCAGAGGAAGTGGTCTCTATCCTTCACATCCACCCAATGCTTGTCTGCTTTTTGCTATTTGAGCAACACACCTAAGGCTGAATCCAAAGCCACCATCTATGAATCCTACACCTGGGAGAGGGGCCTGACTTCTCTACGCCTGAATGTCCTTATCTGTAAAACAGGAAAGCAGACCAAGGCTCATAGGGATGGTCTGAGGCTGAAATAAAGTTCACTAAGATGATATACATTAATCACCGTGCCTAACGCATGGCATACAGTAAGGACTAAATGCTGTATTGGGGTCTCATGCTCACAACGCATCACCAGTAAGTATTCAATCTGAGGCTGTGCATGCAGCACTCAATAGATGTTTTCTTCTTTAAACACGCACAGACTAGGTCTCCCTGTAGCCCCAGATGGCCTAGATCTCAGACATCCACCTGCCTCTGCCTGAGGGCTGGGATTTAAGGCATGTGCCACCATGCCCAGCTAAAAAAAAAATTATTCCTATTTATGAGAGTGTGTGTCAACATCACATTCCTGTGGGTGCTTGTGGAAGATAAAGAGGGCATCAGATACCCTGGAACTAGAATTACACAGGTTCTAGGAACTGAATTCTGATCCTCTGTAAGTGCAGTAAGTGTTCCGGACTGCTGAGCCATCTCTCTAGGCATTTAAACTAACCTACAGCAGGTCTACTTCTAGGAATGTAGCATTTCAAGACACAAACATGCAATGTCTGAATATGTGCTCATGTGCACATGAACTAACAGAGAAAGACACTACCTGAGCAAGGGCTTTTTTCATTCCAGAAACTCATGCTGCTACCTTACAGCCTAAAGGGAGATGCCAAAATTAAGCTGCTTTGACCACTCTGTCACATTCCTTTATGGTGTTCATAGTGGACTCTTACTAAAAAGCAGTTATTGTTGAGAGAACAGTGCCAACTAGGGCATGGATTACCTAAAGCTGAAGTGGTAAATTCCCAGTCTTTTTGCCTGAAGGGTAGGAACCACAGGCCTTCTGTGTAGCCTTGCCCACCTCGTAGCGCCTAGCAAAGTACACATAAAATCCTGGTGGAAATGTTTTTGCCCATTCATCTCCATTGTTAACTTGGCTGGATTTAGAAATAGAAATACCTAGGTGACTGGTGAGACACTCTGTAGTGCCTATGAAAGCATTCCTAGACAGGATTAGCTGAGGAGAAAATACACCTTGAATGAGGGTAGCACTATCCCTATGAGCTGGAGGCCTCCCAGGCTGAAAAAAAGAACAGGAGAAAGATGCAGAGTACACACATTCTGCCTTCTGCCTCTAAGGTGAACATGTCTCTTTCCCAAAATGCTCTCACCAATGGAATCCTCAAACCATGTACCACAATAAACCTTTCCACCCTTCACTGTTGGGTATTCTGTCACAAAGGTTACGAAAAACGCATACAGGGCCAGGTATGATGGCACACTTACTTCCAGCACTCAGGAGTAATGACACACTTGGCAGCCCTGCTCCTTCACCTCACACTCCTCCTCCAACAATGCACCTAGCAACCTTAGAACCTCTTCGCATATCTGCACCAGGCTACACATAGTCCTCCATCTCTGAACAATGGTATGTTTTCACAAGCCATGGTAACAATCAAAATTAGTTTCTACTCAAGTACATTCCCAATGGGTCTGAGTATGAAACACACAAGGGTAGCTCTGATCTAACCTGATTTGGGGTGTACGCACAGTAAGGCAAAACTGTGTCCTCTAGAAACCTTTTGGGAGAATCCCTTATTTACTATCCTATGCCTATGCACACTTGGGTATGTATACGGTTAAAATCAGACGCATTATGGGAAAAGACATGACGGTTAAAATCAGACGCATTATGGGAAAAGACATGTGCAGTAGGAAAAGTGAGTGCCTGACCTCATCTATCAATACAGAACTACCCAATCTACCCCTAAGTAACCAGCCCCTTTCTCTCGAACCCCATAAAGGAAGACCAGAAAAACAGGGCCCATGAGGACGCTCATCATGAAATCACTGCTAGTCTTGGGTCTCTCTTCAATCTGGGAGCTCTTTTCAACTCTCACCACCCAGACCTTGACCACCCATCAGTAACAGTAGGAAGACAGAGATAGGGCAAAACATACAACAGCTACGGAATGACTGAAAAAACAAATCTATTATCAACAAGAAGATTGAAAAGTGAAAATATAATTGCAGGCTTGTTAGTCAGCAGAGTGAAGATGTCTATAACAGACCTTGCACCTGGCCTTCTCCCACATCAGATCAGAAATCCGGTGGGAAGACCAAGAACCAGAAGACGGCGACATCACCTGAGTCAACAAAGGCCTTCACAGGATGTCCATTCACTTTGCAGTTGATGTAAAGCATCACTACTTGGCCGAAGCTTTCTGGCGCCTCCTCCATAGCTATCGTCATGTTCTCCTCAATGTTCTGCTGCCTGAAACAGACCAAAACCAGGCACGCTAAAAGTTCTGTCTCCAGGAAGAGCAATGTTTTAAAGTCACAATATCAAAAACAGGTTTGTAGATGTTTTCTGCCCTGACTAGAGCAGCTGTTATCAGAGTGGGGACAGGCTCAGTGCTGTAGCAGGTGACTCAGTAGGTGACGAGCGACAGAGTTGGCAGATCCAAGACAGGTGTGGAAATTATTCTCGTGTAAAACAATTACGCTCTCTTTATAAGCTCAGAAACAAAAAAATAAACTTGCAGACAGCACGGCCATAACCCTCCACATCTTACAGAATATCAGAATCTCATGAATACTACTTCTGAGACAGTCTCACTCTGTAGCCCAGGCTGGATTTGAACTCATGATCTTCTCACCTCAGCCTCCCAAGTGGGGGAGAATATAGGAGCATGCAAGAATGCTTCCATTTTTCTGGGCACTTGAATACCTTTCCTATACTCAGTGCATTAAAAAGTCTGTAAGCAGAACACACGAGTACTTCACCTATCTGTGCTTTACCATCTGCTTCATGTCCAGAACTGGGTTTTCTTTTTCTTTCTTTTTTTTTGGGTACTTTTCTGAGACAGGGTCTCCCTGTAGCCCCAGCTGGCCTAGAATTGCTTTGGAGACCAGGCTGGCCTCAAACTCAAGAGATCCACCTGCCTCTACCTCCCGAATGCTGGGATTAAAGGCGTGCACCACCACGCCCGGCAGGACTGGGTTTTCTGATGTGTAAAATGAAGAAATTAAGTCCTTCTCATCACAGGATTGATGAGAGACCTAAAGTATCTAGCTTGTAGTGCTAAGACAAGGCAGAATCTCATAAACTGCACCCATCACTAGGCATGTAGCTCAGCTGGGAGAGTGCATCTTTAGCACACATGAAGGCTAGATCCCCAGCATCACATAAACTAGTCATAACAGTACAGGCATCTAATCTCAGCATTTGGGAAGTGAAGGCAGGAGGATCAGAACTTCAAGGTCGTCCTTGGATGCATGAAACCCTGTCTCAGAACAACAACAAAAAAGAACAGGTCAGCGGCTAGTCAACTTGCTTTAGACTAGGAGTGTCAGAACAGAGCCCAAAATCTGGGGTAAATTGTACTGTTAAGTAAGGATCGACAATCTACGTCTCAGTATCTGTGTACATTTTATAGGAACTGAGGCACCACATACTTATATACTCTCTGTAATGATTAATCCTGATTGTCAGTTTGACTAGAGTTAGAATTACCATGGAAACAACATCTGATGGTGTTTCCAGAAAGCTTTAACTGAGGAGAGAAGAACCACCCTGAATGTGGGTACCACTATCTCACAGGCTGGGGACCAAGACCAAATAGAAATGAGACATGGTCCCGCTACCATCCCTTCCCTACTATGATGGGCTGTGCCCTCCAACTGTGAGTCAGAACCGTTCCTCCCTTAAGTGCTGTTTGTCACAGCAACTAATAAGCTATGGCTGCTTTCACACATCAGAAGCAGAGCTGTGCATGAGAAACAGAGACTGCACGGTCTCCTGAGCCTAAAATACTTACTACACAGGCTTTACAGACAAACACCTAACACCTGCTCTGAACCACACTGCCTGTGTTTACTGTAATGCTCTAGGTTACTGATTGATGGACCATTCTACAATGAAACATTAAACTCAGAAAGTCAAAGGCACCTTGTGTTCAATTTAGTTAGCAAATATAAAAGCTGTGGTACCTCAGTGGACATGTGGTCCTATGAACAAAAAGTCACATACAAAGTAAAACTTTAATACTTGATGATATAATTATATAACTTTTACCCACCTGTGTACTGCTAAATTTAGAAATTATATAAAGTTAATTATGCACCCTGATCTTGCATTAGGGCCATAAGTCAAGTAAGTTTTAAGAGAGTGGAGTGGAGGGGAAAGGGAAAGGGAAAGGGTAGGAGAAGGGCAGGGGAGAGGGGGAGGGGAAAGGAAAGGAAAGGAGAGGAGAGGAGAGGAGAGGGGAGGGGAGGGGAGGAGAGGAGAAAGAGAAAAAGAAAAACTAGGGTTAGGCAGCTCAGTTGGTAAAGCACTTGCCATTTAGGCATGAGGAGCCCTTACTGGGCTTGGTAGTGTACCCTGTAATCCCAGGCCTGGGGAGGTGGAAACAGGAGGATCCTAGAATGTCACTGGCCAGCCAACAAGCTCAGCCAAATTGGTGAGCTTCAGGTTCAGGTTTAGCAAAAAGAAAATCAGGTGGAGAGCCATTGAGGAAGATACCAGGTGTTGACCCCTGGTGTTCTTAGTCTCTGTCTCAAACAAGAACATAAACACCTCAGAAAGAGAAAACCTGCCAAGCATCAAGGCTCATACCTATAATCTAGTACTCAGGAGACTGACAACTTTAGGCCAGCCTAGGCTACAACAGTGAATTCCAGAATAATTCCAGAATAGCTTGGGCTACAGAGTGAGACCTGTCTCAAAACAACAAAACAAAACACACACACACACACACACACACACACACACACACACACACAGAGACCTTGTCTCAAAACAACAAAAGACACATACACAGAGACCTTGTCTCAAAATGACACACATACACACACACACACACACACACACACACACACACACAATAATAAAAGCCAGCAAACAAACAAAACACTTGAGACAGCACCAGTTTCTACAACTGAACAGCCTGTGCAGACAGTGGCTTTAGAAGCTTGTAGCTTTCCTTTTCGAGGACTAGAGCAGATCCAGCAAGCTGGATCAGCTAGAGTAAGGCACTTGTCACCAAGCCTGACAACCTGAGTTTGCTCCCTGGAACCTCCGGTGGAAGGAGACAACCAACTCCTGAAAGTTGTCCTGACTTCTATATATGCACTGGGGTACACATGAGCCCACACTCACACACAGTAACAAAATTATTTAAATTTTTTTGATGGTTTCATTTTTATTTTACATGTATAAACGCTTTGCCTGTTACATGTGTAAGTGCACCACTTGTGTGCTATACCTGTGGAGGACAGAAGAGGGCATCAGATCCCCTGGAACTGGAGTTACAAGCAGTTGTTAGCTGCCAGGTCAATGTTGGGAACTGAACCTGGGTCCTCTATAAGAGCAGCCAGTGCTCTTAACCACAGGACCATCTCTCCAGGCCTCAGAATAATTTTTTTAAAAAAGGGAAATCCTACTGGGAGTATGGTGCACCTTGGAATCAACACGCTTGGGAAGTAGAGGCAGCTGAATCAAGAATTTAAGGCCAGGCTTGGCTACATAGCAAGTTTGAGGCCAGCCTGGGCTTACCTGAGACCTTGTCTCAAAAAAATAAAAAAGAAAACAGATGATACTTTTCTTTTCCCCAACCCTGTAAGAAATGAGCTATATGATATGTTCTATTTCACTTCCAAAGTTTGCTATAAAGCCTTTCCAACCCTCCTGTTTTCCAGGATGAAGGCAGCTAAGCTTGAAACCAAGGCTAGTCTCCCTGACAGCTGCAACACAGTCTAGAGGAGGAATACAAGTAGCTTCCTGTTTGTTTCTCTGGGTAGGTCCAACTACTTAAGATGTGTCTCAAAGATCTTCACGAACACCTGACAAAAGCTGGGCCTGATGGCACAGGCCTGTAGTCTCAGGTACTAGAGAAGCTAAGACAGGAAGATCTCAAGTTCAAGGCCAGCCTGGATAATCTTAGTCAGATCCTGTCTAGACATAAAAGTGAAAGGAGGGCTGAGGATGGCTGACTCCTAGCATGAGCGAGGAAAAACCAGCAATATTTGATACAATGAATGAGAACACTTAGCCAAAAGAACATGAGTGAATAGCTTAGGACTTTCAATTATTCTCACATGCAATTTGCATTTCTCCTATTTTAAATGGAGGGTTGGAGGTGCAGCCTAGCGATAAGAGGACTAATCTAGCCTAGTTGAATGCATTGAGGCCTGGGCTCCACATCCAGTATAGCAAAAGCAGGAGGGGTAGGGTGAACCTGTCAATGTAATAAAACAACCAAATTGGGTTTCATGATAAAGCCCCTACCCTACTCAGACCTCAAGAATATCATTAGATCTGTTCCTCCAGTTACTGTAAAACTTTCATAAGCAGCAACAAAACCAGAATCGAGGATGTGGGAGAAACTGCCCCTCTTACTCAGACAGCATCTTGCTGTGGTCACTGTTGAGGTCAAGACCAGAATTAGTACTGTGGTACTTGCTTGGACTCCACTCCTGAACCTGACTCATCAGACAGGGGAGACGGCCCACACATTTGCAGTTTTAAAAGCTTATTGCATGCTTTTAATGTAGCCCCAGAGGAAAACCACTGCATTATAGAAACTAGAGTTAGAAATGTGTTAGGCAGAGAGATTATCCATTGAAGCCAGTAAAGAACAGATGGAAGACTTAAGACTACAAGCTTCCACTTTGCAGTGCTCTCTAATCCAGTCATCTTCAAGCTCTGGATTTAATCAGGATTCACACAACTGGTCTAAAGAAAGAGATTCATATCAGTCCATGAAAACAGCCTACCAATCTTGCCAGATGGGGCTTCTCCTTCACCTGTCCTGGGGTCATCTACCTGGCTTCAATGATGCTGTTTTGTCTGCTAGTGAGGAAGTCTTCCGAAAATTTTAGAATATGAAGTCATTAAGTATCTTTGCAATGTAAACCAACACATAAGGAAAATGAAGGAGAGGGTTATCTAGTAAGACTGATCGCATCTCAACCTTGAAACAAGGAAGCTGTCTCCAGATAGATGTCCAACTAATGCCTGACAACCTACAGTGTGGACAACCTGGATACCATGAGACCTCTCATAGGTGAACTGGTCATTACCTTATGTCCTCTTCTATCTTTGCCTGAGCTTCGAGATCAAAGGGGTCAGCAGAAAAGAGACGAATCCTTTCTTGTTCTCTCCGGGCTCGGTCCTGCTGCTGCTCCACCAGGACCCTAGAAAATTTCTCTACAAAAGTAAGGGAGGGACATCTTCAGCTCCACTCTTTATACTCTTTAAAAAAAAAAAATCCGTAATTAAAAAATGCTATTACTTACTTCAAATGTATACATGAGGGTAATTTTCAGTCACAAACCCTGTACACCTTAGCTTGAAAGTCAAAAGACAAGAAAACACCACTGCACTCACTTGACACTGTTCTTATCGAAAACTCTGACCCTTTGGCTTCAGCTTCCTGAGTGCTAGGACACTAGTGTGTGTTGCCACAGTGGACTCTGTGTTTTCCTTCTTTTTAAACATTTACTTATTTTGTATGTATGTACCCATATGTATGTGTGTGGGTGTGCTTATCACAGCCCACAAGTGGAGGTCAGAAGAGAGTTGACCTGTGGAGTCAGTGCTCTCCTTCCATGATGTGGGTCCCAGGGATTGCACTCAGGGTGTCAAGCTCAGTAGCAGGTACCCTCACCTGTCCTTACCTGCTGAACCATCTCAGTGGCCCTGTATTTTCCTTATTAGTAAGTTTCCACATCAAATTCTCAAAATTCAACCGTCTATGTAGAAAGGATGTCTAAAAATTAAACTGAGCCTGACCTTCTATTCTGAGGAAGGACTGCTTCTCATTTAAACTCAGCATGAGAGTGTATGCAAAAATCTCTTCTCCTTGCAAGTTTCCTGTCATTCTTTCTACTCAGGCATTAGCTTCCCAGTACACCAAAGTGTGGCAGATGAATGCCTCCCCACCTCCCCTCACCATTACCCTGGTACCCAGGAACAAAACAAGAGCACTATAATCTCCTTCCCCCAACCTAGTCTCACTTCCTTCATAACAGGGTCTGCCTTAAAGAAAAATGAATGAAGTACAAATCACTGTTAAGTCTATCAGTATTTCACTTTTTGAGGGATAATAGGCAGGAAAATTAGCAAAGAGAAAATACTGCTTGTACTATAATATGTATGTCTCAACAAAACTACTTTGCTCTTCTCAGCCGGTGATGTTCCACCTAAATAAGCTAATGTGCATGTGCCCTTACTACAGTCTCTGGCACTTAGCTATGCTGACATGGGAAATTAAGGACCCAGGCAGGCAGTGGACTACCAATGAGCCAACAGGATGGATCTAAACCATGTGTGTAAGGAGCCTGATAAGAGTACTCCAAGTACACAAAGCTCAAAAACAGGCAAAATGAATCAATGATAAAAGGACCAGCTAGCCCTGGAGAGGAAACTGACAGAAACACATTGGAACTTTCTGGATTGGAGATGGCTCAGTCAGTAAAGTGCTGAACTTGCAAGCACGAGGACTAAGTCGAACCCCCAAAACCTATGTGAAAATGCTGGAAACAGTGGTGTGCACTTGCACTCCAGTGCTTAGAAGTAGAGCTGGGGGGATCTCTGAGCCTGGCCGAACTGGTGAACTCCAGGTCAGTGAGAGACCCCATCTCACAAGAGGTAGCTGACATTCTTAGGAGTGACACCTGAAGTTGTCCCACAGTCTCCACATGCAACACCCCACATACAAAAGAAAAAAAGTCGCCGGGCATGGTGGTGCACACCTGTAATCCCAGCACTCTGGAGGCAGAGGCAGGTGGATCTCTGTGAGTTCGAGGCCACCCTGGTCTACAATGTGAGTCCAGGCTAGCTGGGGCTACAGGGAAACCCTGTCTCAAAAAGACAAAAAAAAAAAAAAAAAGTCGTGGTGGCCTACACCTTTAATCCTAGCACTGGGGAGGCAGAGGCAGGCATATAGTTCCAGGCCAGCTGGAGATACATATAGTGAGACCCTGTCTCCAAAAACAGATCAAAGCAAAAAAACCCAGGCTTCAAAACAGAGCCGGTGAGATGGCTCAGTGGTTAGATGCACTTGTATACAGGCCTAATGATCTGAATTCAATCCTAGTTGCCACAAGGTGGTAGGAAAGAACTGACTCCTGAGAGTTATCCTCTAACTTCCACAAATGCTCTATGGTAAATACACCTGCATTCATTAGGGGCACCAACACCATAATGGAACTTTCTAGGGTAAGGAGAAATGTTCTGTATCTTGGTCAAGTTAAATGAGTTTGCCAAGGGGCTAGAGAGATGGCTCAACTGTTCAGAACACTTGTTTTTCCATGGAACCTGGGTCTGATTCCCAGTCCCCATATGGCAACCTACTGTCTCTAACTCCAGTTATGGTGGAGATGGCAGTCTGAGACAGAATTCCCAGAAGCTCACAGACCATCTAGGCTGCTGTACGCAGTGCAAGTGGCAAACAGCAGAGACCCTGCCTCAAAAAAAACAAGGCAGAGGGTGAGGACGACACCCAAGGCTGTCCTCTGACCATATGTGTGCTATGGCATATGCACACATACACACGCACAGACAAAACTAAAAAGTTCAAACAAAATGAAACAAGGTGGATGGATATCCTGGGGATCAAAGAGGTTGACCTCTGGCCTCCACATGCACACACATGAAAAGAAGCCAATTGAGGAAGGAACAGAGTTAAGACATGTCTCTTAGTGTTTCAACCTTATGCAGTGGAGCTTTATAAACCCGAGAGTAAAAGGGGAGGAAACACTTTTTTCAGACAGGGTCCTATGTCTCTCTGACTGCTCTGGAACGTTAACAGCCAAGAACGGCCCTGACCTCCTGATTCTCCTGCTCTCACCTCCCAGTTGCTGGGATTCAGGCATGTGCTCTCATATGCAGTTTATATACTGCTTGGATTGAACCCAGTGTTCTGTGCATGCCAGGCAAACCCTCTACCAACTGAGCTATGGCCCAGCCTTTTTTTAAAGATAGGCTTTCTAGTAGCCCAGGCTAGCCTTAATGACTAACCTTCCTGTCTCTGCCTCCTAACTGCTGGGATTACAGAGGTAGGTCACCATGACTGGGCTAACAGGAGAAATTGCGAAGAAAACCTGACAACTAGAGAGGACTACAAGTGCCAGATGTGGTGGCACATGCCTGCAATTCCAGCACTCAGGAAGACAGGCAGGACTGTGGATTCAGGCCAGCTGGGGCTACAGTGAGGCACTGTATCAAAACAACAATCAAAAAGACCAGAAATACATGTTCTATTTAACAAAAGCACGGCTCAAACAGCTCCAAAGAAACTACTAGCAACCACCTTGCTACCACTTAGGCAGTGGAAGAACACGGGGTTCCATTTTGTCACACTGGAAGTTAGTCCTGAACAGCATTTCCATTGGGCTCTTCAATTCCTCAAGTCAAAATATAAGTACCTGGCTTCTGTGCGCTGCTAAAAACAATGGCGGGGGTGGGTGTCCTCAGATGATTTCAATTAAATCCATCATTATTGCCAATTAGCCTAGCCTTTGAGATAGGCATTCATTCACTACTCATGTACAATCAGGTAACAGGTAGAATATGGCCCTTGTTTGAGTCTTTTCACATCTGCTCTGGCATGATGACTTCCCACCAGGTCAGCCCAACATGCCTGCAAACGTGTAAGCTTACCCAGATCTCCACTAAGCAGAGCTTCAGCCAGGGGTGGATTACGCTCCTTCAGCAAGGACAGCTCATGTGGGTTGGCCAGCAGCATATCTCGGAGCAGAGCTGGATTGTCCAAGCCTTGAGGAGATGATGCTATTTCTCCAGGAGAGGAGTGTGGCTGCTGTGCTCCTGGCAGCTGACGCTGTCGGGGGCTTGACGTGCCAGGCACAGCTATGCTACTGAAGTCTATCCGGGGTAAGTCTGTTGGGAAGATCAATCACCTTTAATCAAATGACTCTAGAGACAAAAGCACCGAAGGAACAACAGAAGAGTTGCTCAGACACGGTACATAGCAGCTTATGGTAACTGTCCCCTTGTTCTTCCTCACACAGTCTCTGAATATAAACACTGTGGTCTAAGAGTAAATTAATAGGAAAAAATAGAACAGGGCACTGGGCAATGATAATAACACCAAATAAAATATTCCAGAATAAATAAAGATTTTACTTTAAAAAAAAAGCTTTTAGTTACACTTATTTATTTATTTATTTATTTTGTATGAGGAGGCAAGGCACCATGGGGACTTTGGGGATCAAAACCAAGCTGTCAGGCTTGGCAGCAAGCACCTTTACCATTGAGCCATCTTACCTGTCCCACATACAGTTCTTAAGAGACACTTTTCGGGGTTGAGAGATGGCTCAGTGGTTTAGAGCACTGGCTGCTCTTGTAGAGAGCCCAGGTTTGGTTCCCAACAGCCACACGGTGCCTAACAACCATCTTGTCACTCTAGTTTCAGGGGATCTGATGCCCTCTTCTGACCTCTGCGGGCACTGCAGAACATAGGTGCACTTATATACAGGCAAGTGTACACTCATACACACAAAATAAAAATAAAGTATATTTTTTAAAGAGATACTTTAAGACTAATGCCAGCCATAGTGGTGGCATGCCATTAATCCCAGCACTAGGAAGGCAGAGGCAGGCAGATGCATCTCTGAGTTCTAGACCAGCCTGGTCTATGTAATGATTTTTAGCCAGCTAGGGCTACAGGGAGACCCTGTCTCAAAAAGATAAAAAAAAAAAGCCCTGACAATTGAGGTAAAGAATACATACAAATCAAATGTGCAGCATTATGCTATATGCTACATTCTCTGGGACTATGTTAAACACACTGGTCTAGAAAAGTTCTTTACAGCTCTCTGAATTTACAATTTTATCCATGCTAAGTCTTCTCATGATCCCAGGGATTCAGTGGACACAATCATTTTACAGGATGAAAAACTACAGAAAAAGAACTTGCACAGGCTCTGTCCTGAGTCCACACAGTGCCATCATAGGATACCAGCTGTAACTCTTAGGTTCTGCACGACAGGCTGAGCTGACCTACTACAATGAAAGGATCAGCTTCAGTCTTTACACAAGATCCCACACAGTGCATGACTCCATTCCCAGGCAATATTGGAACAGGAAATAGAGACAGAGAGCTGACCTGCAGAGCATGAGGGAAAACGTTAAATGAGTGCTAGCAGGTGACTTCTATGAACTAAATGGTGGGGATGGTGGCATAGCTCTACAAATGCACCAAGAGCCACTCAAATTTCACCCTTTAATGGGGGAACTGTATGGTATGTGAATTTTAGCTCAATATAGTTATTAAGTAAGAAAAAGATGCTGGGTATGGTGGCTTGGGCCTATAATCCCAGCTCTCCAGGGACTGAGACAAGAGGATTTCGAGTTTAAGCCTGTTTATTTATGTACATGAGTATATTGCCTGCATGTATGTGCGTGCACCTGTGTCATGCAAGGCCCACAGACACAGAGGACATCAGATCCCCTGGAACTGGAGTTACAGATGGTTGTTAAACATCACGTGGGTGCTGGGAACCGAAACACGTTACTATGCAAGAGCAGCCAGTGCTCTTAAGCCACAGAGTCATTCATTTCTCCAGCCCCAGTTTTTTTGTTTTTTGTTTTTAAAGTAAAGCAAACAACTAGAGGCAGAATCAGAGGGTAAGTTTAAATAAATGCATTTTTTCCCCCAACCCCAGTTAATGACCAACCTTGTCCCAAGTCTGGGACTATCCTGAAGCCTTTGTATCTCAAACATAAAAAGGGAATGCTTAAACTCAAGTATACAGTTTCAACTTCATAGTGTGGGTTCAGCTATCCACTCACTGTCTTAAAACAGAACCAGCTGGCAGCCAGTGTTATGTGTTGAAAGGAAAGAGAAGAGGAGGGGCAGCAGGGATGGTGGAGAGGAAAGACTCCACCAATGAGATGGTGAATGGCCAAGATCTCGGTAAGGCTGTTACTCTACACCAGCCACCAGAATGTATGGGTGGCCTTCTTTGTAAAGTGGAGAAATTCTTATCTTGACCCAGTAAATCCTATCTTGACAGTACAGTCACTTCAGAATAAATATGAGAAACCTGTGTACTTCATACACCAGCTCTTCACACATACCTAGCACCCAAGAACAACCAGGACCTACCGGTTGTGTTGTCCATATGAAAACAGAAGGGGTGGGGGAAATCAACCAAACAACCCCCTGTCCTCCCACCCCCGTCACACACACAGAAAAAAGAAAGAAAAACAAAACTAACACAGTGGCCCTCTAGCACTAACCACCCCACCAAAGGAAGACTTGGTTTTTACGGACGGGCTATTTTGTTCTTACTCACTATTCTTCCTAAAGCAGCCTAAGGGACTAAACTATAATCCAGACCTGATAGCGCCAGTGCCTGATGGTCTTGGATAGCTTGTTGGAGACTGAATGGAAGCACTGTGCTCCAAGCTGCAGTCTGTGATCAACCAAGATACCTGTCCCCTATTATCATAACTTTAAAACCAGGTGACCTGGAGGTTAAACACTGTGAAGAACTTGACCAAAATATAGCAGGCAGCAGAAATAACACATTTCATCAAGCAGTTCCACACTGAGACTTAGAAACTCTGTGAGTCATGAGCCCCTTTGGGTATCTAAAGCAAACTACAGATCCTCTCACCATCAGAGGCACAGATGCACCTGCTCCCACACAATTCTACATATTTCAGGGACCGAGACCTCCTGCATCTAAATGTAGATTCCAGGCTACAAACATCGATTCTGGCTGGGTGTGGTGGTGTGTGCCTGTAATTCCAGCACTTGAGAAGATCAGGTTGGAAGCCAGCTTGGGCTATATATAAAATTCCAGGCCATGAAAGCCAGTTTTAAAAAAAGAGGAACCAACCCCTCTTCTGGATGGAGCATCCAAGATCTATCAATTGCTGCTGTTTCTCTCCTAGCAGAACTGCTAAGGAAGAACTAGAACTTGGTGCTCGAGCTGCTTAAACTTTACCAAGTTTGGAATAACAGAAAAAGCACTGTTCTTACTAGCTATTTAACTCCAATGACACCATTTAAAATATTCTATTTATGCCGGGCGTGGTGGCACATGCCTTTAATCCCAGCACTTGGGAGGCTGAGGCAGGTGGATCTCTGTGAGTTGGAGGCTAGCCTGTCAGCTGGGGCTACAGGGAGAACCTGTCTCAAAAAGACCAAAATAAATAAATAAATAATTCTATTTATTATTATTATTCCCCAGCTGTCCTGGAACTCACTATGTAGACCAGGCTGGCCTCGAACTCAGAGAGATCTGCCTGCCTCTGCCTCCCGAGTGCTGGGATTAAAGGCATACGCCACCATGCCTGGCTTCTATTTATTATTTTTATTTTATGTATATGAATGCCTACATGTATATAAGTGCACCTGCATTGTGCAATGCCTACGGAGGTCAGAAGAGGGCATCAAATTCCCTGGAACTGAAGTCACAGGCGATAGAACCCAGGCCCTCTGCACAAGCAGCCAGTGCTCTTAACTGCTGAGCCTTCTCTCTAGCCCCATGACATCATTTAAAATCTGAGCTTCATCTATTAATGAGAAGAGGGATCTCTTCCCTCACAACCAAGTAAGGAAATAGTGAAATTTGGGTCCAAGTGCCAGATGACTAGACATCCAGCAATAAAAATTCATCAGGAATCACAGGTTTACAGTGTCAAGTCCTGCGGAATAAAAGTTATGGTGTATCTGTCACTGATAACAGCAGAGGCTAACCTTTACAGAAGGCTTGCTAAAGGTTTCACACACATAGTTTTCATGCCAGCTCTGGGAGCTGGGGTTAGGTATGGCCCCTGTATTACAGAAAAAAGTGATTTGGAAAAGTCAAATGAGTTGCCAGGGTTACAAAGCAGGCAGTCAGGTCTACATCCTGATAATCTGATTCCAAAAGAAACCTGAAACTCAGAACCACACTGCTCTGTCACCTGCTGACACTTCTGTTAGGCATGGTGAACAGTTGATGTCTTACTTGAGAACTGCACTGGAGGTCGAGAGTCTGCATTCTCTTTCTGTCGTAAAATCACAACATCCCCATCTTTCAAGCCGTAAGAAGCCAGTGATCTGTGGTTGTCTGTGAGAGGTCTTTCAGCATAGACAATCTGTAAGGAAAGAAAGAGTGAAATAAAGCACTGAGAAGCAACATGGCACAAAATGGAGCCAGTTTCATCATGTCATCCCTGTTCAAGACCCTCACAAGAATTCCCATCATACCTAGAAGGAAATCCACAGTCCCACCTGTCACCCACGGGCCCCTCTGGCCTGGCCTCCCCTTCATCATGACTGTTGTTCTTCAATGACACAAATCAACTTCTTGGGCTGTTTCCTGTGTTCTTTTCTCCACTCAAGGAATGTTCTTTCTCTTGTCACATTGTTTAGGTGTCTGATCAATACTACTTTTCAAGGCTCTCCCTAAAGCCCTATCCCAAGTGTACCTTCGTCATGGGCCATGGGTGGTGCTCACTGGTGTTGTTCATTGGTAGATCCTCATGGATTACCCATGAGGCCCTGGGTTCCATCCCTAAAAATACCTAAAACTGTTAAGTTAAATGTACTTTCCTCACCTAACAGGCCATACTTAATCTGTTCCTTTAGTCTTTTTGCTCAACTGAAACATGGGCCACTTGCAACAATGACTTTGTTTCAGTTACCCTACCACAAAAGCTTAGGAGAAGGCCTATTATACTACTGTTCAACTATCTGTTCAATTGAAGGATGAAGGGGCTTACAGGGTAGGTAATCTGTCTGTAATTCTGAGGAACAAGAGCAGTGGGAATGACAAATTCGGTGCCTGTCCACTACAGTGTAATAATGTGCACTTCTAGCTAGGTATGGTGGGACAGCAATTCCAACACCTGGGGTTGCTGAGGCAGAAGAACTGCCTTGGGTACCAAGCCAGCCAGTACAGTGAGATGCTATTGCAAAATATGTACATAACAATAATAATTACAGAAGATCTTGGTCATGAATTTCAGAGAGGAAGAACAAAGGAAGAGTTGGGGGGGTAGAAATGATATAAACTTGGTATGCATAGGAAGTTCTGGCAGGGTGTGGCAGCCCATGCCTTTAATCCCAGCAGGGACAAGGGAATCTCTGTGAGTGATCAAGGCCAGCCTGGTCTACACTGTGAGTTCCAGGCCAGCTGGGGCTATAGAGGGATCTTGTCTCAAAAAGAGCTCAATAAAAAAATAAAATAAACGAAGTTCTCAAAAAAACTAAAAAATTAAGTTAAAAAATAATCATTAAAAATAAAGCCAGGCGTGGTGGCGCACACCTTTAATCCCAGCACTTGGGAGGCAGAGGCAGGGGGATCTCTGTGAGTTCAAGGCCAGCCTAGTCTACATAGTGAGTTCCAGGTCAGCTGGGGCTACAGGGAGACCCTGTCTCAAAAGGACCAAAAAAAAAAAAAGAAAAAAAAATTCAGAATCTGGGGCTAGAGAGATTGCTCAGCAGTTAGGAGCAATTGGCTGCTCTTGCAGAGAACCCAAGTTTGTCTGGATTCCTCAGGCACTGCACAACATGAGTGCACTTACATACATTAGGCAATAAACTCATACACATAAAAAATTTTTAAATATTAAATAAACAAAATATTTTAAAAAGAATTTCAGAGTCAAATAAAAGATGATTATTTTTTTAAGCTCTGAAAATAAACCCCCAGAACTAAGGTAATTAATTAAAAAATACATAATTTTGTTTTTTGTTTTGTTTGTCTTTGAGACAGGGTCTCCCTGTAGCCTCAGCTGTCCTGGAACTCACTATGTAGACCAGGCTGGCCTTGAACTCACAGAGATCTGTCTGCCTCTGCCTTGCGAGTGCTGGGACTAGAGGCGTAAAAAATACATACTTTTAAGTGAGCTTGTACACTGACAGGTCTGAGAGCCTACCTTCTCTTTTAACAGCCCCAAAGTTTTTTGAATCTTGTTTATGAGAGAAAAATAGAAATCAAAGAAATTCTGAAAAGAAAAATTAAACATGGGTGAAAAAAAGGTTATAGGAAGTCCTATTAAGAGATACACCTAAAAATTATTTCATTCATTGATTCGTTCATTCAGGGTTTTTAATGAAGCAGGATCTCCCTGTAGGCCCAGCTGGTCTCAATCTCAGAGTCTGTGCCTCTGACTCAGGAGTGCTGGATTAAAGGACAGCCCCCCTCCCCCGCGGCCCAGCTTCTTTATTTTTATTTTGTGTATTTGTGTTTCGCCCTGCATATATGTAAGAGTACCATGTGGGTGTCCAGTACCCAGACAACAGAAGAGGAGTCCCTGGAGCTGAAAAACACAAAATTCATAGTATGCTATGAGAGGAAAAGAACAGGCACAACAGCTCACTGTGACTTTACTAGACAGGATAGAAAATCCTCCTTACATTGTCATATCAACAAACCCGGGCTTGAAAAGCTTTCTCCCTAAGGATTCACTCTGCACTGGGTCACATGCAAACCGAGCCACCTGAGTAACCTGAGTTGTGTACTGGATCAGCCAGTAACTCATGGGAAGGGTCACTTGACAGGCCCTGGCCTCACATTTACCATCCAGTAAATAAGTAGTTGGGGAAAATCATTGCAAATGTCCCTTCCAATTCTTTCTTTTTCCAAGCTGGGGGATGAGCCCAGGGCCTTGCATGCTAGGCAAGAGGCCTACCACTGAGCTACACTACCACCAAGCTACACTACCAGGCTTCTCTTGCCTGCCCTCAAAGCTCTCTTGGCAAGGTTACTTGGGCACAGAAATGGAAAAAAAGAGTATTTAAACTGAAAAGGGGTGGACACCTCTCTATCATTTTGACTTCAAAATCTGTACTAACAGGAACAAAAGACTCACCCTACAAAATCCAAAAACTAGAAAAGTATTTATTCTAAGTTCTCACCTTCAATCTACAGGCCAAGACATCTCAAAAGACTGCACTGATCACTGACATCTCTTCATAACCCCATCAAAGTACATATCTCATTGCAAAAGGAGGACAGGCTGAGGTGTATCAGGTGCATCAACATTGTGAAGCCGTTATAATGAGGTCACCAATAGCCTATGACCTACGTTAGTCTCAGGTTCAGAAAGTCAACTGTCTGAAGTATAAAGACATGGGATTAGTCTCTAGAGGCAGGGACACTTTATAATCTTACAAGAAAATGCCCTCATGCATGGGAATCCAACTCAGCAGGATGAGATACCCTGGTTATAAGGATGTGATAGAGGGAGAGAGCAGCGCCTAGCACAGAAGAGCTAGCACAAGACTCCTGGGTTCTCTGAGTGGGACACATGTGGAAAGCCAAATTAAAAGAGCCGCCAGTCACCAATGAGATACTACCAGTATCATTACAAATCACTGAACCTCAATCATTTTATGAAACAGGGATTATTTGTCTGATTTTGGGGGCCAGGAAAGAGATATAGAGGCCACACAAAAACTATGATGAGAACTACGGCTGGAGGCCTATCTGCTTGACCTTAAAACCATACTCTTTCCTGAACTGGGAGGATCAACACTATCCTTGGGCTGGTGACATACCTCAGTTAAGTACTTGCCTGGCATGCACAAGGCCCTAGATTCAGTTCCCAGTACCAGAGCTGGGGAGCACAACACTGTCCCTGTTCTGAACATCAAATAACACTGGGGCTGTGTGGCCCAGTGATACAGCACTTGCCTAGCATGCATACCACAGCACTGGGAAGGAAAAAGAAGGAGCAAACAAGGAGCACTGGCAATTCCTAGATCTTCTCAGCAAGTAGCATCATTTTTTTAAGGATGGCAGCACGATTAACAACAAACTGTAAGCTCCGACATTCGCTGACATCGGGCATGCACGCATACAAACTTACGAAATATTGCTATCTGCCACAATTTCCTAGAAATGGGTGGATTAGCTACTTTTGCATTGATATGACAAAATACCTAGCATAACGGCTTAAAAGATTTACATGGCTTTGGGTTTCAGAGGATTCCGTCACCCATGGTTAGGAGGGTGCACCATAGAAGAGCAGTTCACATCATGGAGGCCAGAAGCAGAGAAGACAGGAACATATGAATACAGCCAAGGGCACGTTCCCAATGGCCTTTCTCTAACTAGGCACCCCCTTTCACCACCTTCCAATAATGCCATCATATTAAAAATCCATCCAAGGATTGATTAATCCACTGATTAGGTCAGAGCCTTCATGACCCAACTGTCTCTGAAAATGCCATGATAGATACATCCAGAGATGAGCTCCACTAATCCCCTAGGAAGTGTAATTCAGTTATGTTGACAATCAAAATGAATCATCACATTCGGTAGAAAGCAAATCCTCACAATGACAAAACAGCAGGCAAACAGGGAATGGTGACAGACACACTTGGGAGGCTACAGAATGAGGATTGAGTTTAAGGCCAGGCTAGACTACAGAGACACTAGCCCAAAACAGTTCAAGGACCATTATTTTGCACCTGAAGTCCTAAACTAAATCAATCTGTGTAGACATTGTAATGTTGGTAATACCAGCCCCTGGGAAGCTGAGGTGGGAGAAAAGGGTTGTTTCAAGGCCAGCCTGGGATACTTGAGACTTGTCTCAAGAAACAAACATATCCACATCATCTTCCAACTTAACACGTATAAGCCTCTCAGTCAAAACAAAAGGAGCTCGGGCAATGGCACTGGAGGGTTTTCTGTCTGTCATGTCTCCCATTCAACTCAAAAGCTAGTGATGAACATTCAACCCTGCCAGTCAAAAGAACAGAACTGGAATTTCACACACAAGTCTATATTTGCAGAAATGGCACAACTGTTGGCCCTTGCTCCAGAGACTGAATTCTAACCTTAATCAACATCTAACAAGACTAATTAATACAACTCTAAAACCTTTAAGCATAAGATCAAATGTTTTCTGGTCTCTGAAAGAGAGCTTTCAATTAATAGATCCCCCCTCCCTGCCTCTTTATTAGCAGTGCTGCAGGGCAAATGTGTACCAGGCCAGGTCTTTACCAAAGAGATCTCCAGCCCAATAGAAATTTTAACATTACCAAAGACTATAATCTGGCAATAGACCTTGGAATGACAGCTGAACAATCTCACAACACTACTCTTAACCAAGTGCCCACTATGTACCAAGTTTATCTACATGAT